TATATATATATATAATTTTGCAAAGTAACTCGAGCAAGCATAACCAAATAATTAAAGATAGCACTCAGTTGAAAATGATTTGCTATGTTATCATTAGGAGCACGACTATATCAAAGTCAACCATTCCTAGTATAGCTAAGAAGAGCACTCATATCCTGTCAGCCAATTTCTCCCATCCCTAAAGGGTTCTAACATGTCATCAGTTCCGCCAGCATAAGTAGTTGCTGATATCCTGGGCATAACCAAAATGGATCAATTAGCTTTTCAGTCAAAGAGGCCTGAATATATATAATTCATTTCTCTTCTTTATAAAGCCCACTTCTATCCTGAGAAGAGAGCCTTCTGTAAAAGACACAAACCCGGACATTCAACAAGAAGAGAAGTAGTGACTTCTTGATCTTTGTCCTCTAATCCACTCACTTTCTTATTACTCAAATCTACAGGAGCTTAGATCAAGAAATCTGTGTTTGTTTCCGTTCTAACGGAAAGTTCTAACAATGTTATTAGACAACTGTGATGAATTTTAATCTGATGACAGCTTGTGACCCACAAATTGCTGTTTAAAATTAAAATGCATTCAAAATGAAACTGGCAAGAAAATCACAATATTAAACTTGCAATCTGCTGTGTAAAAACACCTATCGAAAGCACTATATTAAAAATGGATATAATTAATTTTTATATAGTATCTTGCAAGTGAAATCTGTAAAAGATAGTCCTTCAATGCACTGCCTTATTAAATTAAAATTGGTTAAATAATCTTTTATATACATATTTTTTTTTTTTTGCAAATTAAGGAGTCAAAATAGAAATGAATTGGTCTGTTTTTGGTAATACACCCTTTGGCTGAGCTCCAGGTAGACTCTAGGGCTACAGACTTCTAGTCTACTCCTTTGATGAACAAAAGTCCTCTATTTACTTCATCCCAAATGTTCACCTAGAACAAATTTAGAAGTGTTTTCCACCTTGCTTATTTTTAAGTTCCTTTATAACTTTTAAGCTATAATTACTCAATATATTAAATGTGATCTTTAGATATGTTTATATATTAATTTAAAAAATAACTACACTGATGTTTTTGATAGATCAACTAAATCATTCTTAAACTTTGTAAGAATTGAGGCTTTTTTGGGGGGGGGTAATGAATGTTTATGTCAGTGCTATCATTAAACAATAAGTAAAACTCAATCCAATGTGTATACTTTCATTCCATATTTCAGCATTAAAGATTTTTATGTGGCAATAAAAAGATTCATTACAGCTATTTGCAAATAATTTAATGACCAATTTGTGGCTATTTCTAGTTTTCAAAAGGTGCCAAAGAACTATTGAAATTTTCACAATATAACATAATAATTATAACAATTATCATGTGTGCTTAATTATAGCCTTAATGTTCCTATACATTACTTCTTCATGAGATTCACAATAAATTAAAATAGCATTAGCTAGAAATAAGAAAGTACCATACTTTACTCTCATTACTGCACATATAGAAAAAGACTCGCCCACTCTTTTTAAAAGATATCACAAGAACTGTAATTTGCAACCATTATGTTTATTCATTACCTCTGGAACATAGCACATATTCAATAAATGTTAGTTAAGGGAATGAATGAATATGAATATGTGTGATAGGATGACAAGTAAACTCAAGGAAAACATCTAGTCTTTGGTTGCTACAGAACTACTGCATGGACAACTGCTATCGCAGTAGGGTTCCTAAAAATCTCTCTGCCATATTCTATTTTGGCTCATGTGAGTGTAAAAATGATAAAGGATTCAGTCCAGCAAGTCCTTGCATTACACAGAAGCTGCGTGTATCCAAAAAGCAGGGTCTGTAGTGACATCGCATATAAATTCCCCAGGTACTTCCTAAGGTTTGCTCCCATAGAAAACCTGATATTGGTTCTGATAGTAAATATATTTATATTTGGGAGCAATCTCACTGTGACTTTTGGCTGGACCTCATCAGTTTCCCAGAGACGGTGCCTACCCTGGGTTGTCAGCCTTGAAACTATGACTGAGATTTTGTTCAGTGCCCTCGAATGCTGACCATGATGCTGAAAGAGAAGACAGGGTCCTATTTTAAACCTTTCTTTCCTCTTATTGGTTTAGAAAATTCGAGTGATAAGAGCAGGGGCCAAAGGAGCCTGGGGCGGCATCCTTAACGTGAACCATGTATTGCGACCTTTTGGGCGGAGATGTGGTCCATCAGGTTACAGCCGAAGCATCCCTCTGAGCTCTCGCTAAACCAAGAGACCTTACAGATGTAGCCGCTGCAGTAGAAAAGGTTACATCCAGCAGGGTGGCTTGTCTGGCTCCTGAGAAACTGGCACTCAACTGCATAGCCTAGAAACAGAATTGGGGAGTCTAGCTGGAGAGGAAGGGGAAGCAAACCTGTATTCATATTGAAAATGTTCACTATTACTTGTACAAGGTAAGGAAAAATCAAGAGCTGATTTTAGCTTAAGTTTTTGCCCTCAGTCTTCCAACAGGTGCATGACTCCCTCGCCCCTTCCCTGCCAGTACTGTCTTGCTTTCTTTGAGAGGCAAGCTTTTCCTAGAGTCCTTAAGCATGTGCAGTATCCTTCCCATCTCATCCCCAGCTCCAGCTCTGCCCGGCAACCCCTTACCTGCAGCGTGAAGATTAAGAAGCAAGCACAGCGCAGGGAAGCCGACTGCTCTCCGCATAGTGTTTGCATTGAGAGGTGGAGGAGAAACTCCGCCACGACCCCACTTCAGGCAAAGTGTTATTAGAAAGAGCCGCCGCCAAGGGGTCTCTGGGCTCCGGGATTCATTCGCAGGTCCTCGGCTGGGGTTTGCAGAGCGGTCTGCAGCGCCGCCTGAAAGCCGCCCTAGCTTCGCCTCCCTGAGAGAGGGGAGAGGAAGAGGAGTAGGAGGCGGCTGGTGACGCGGGTGGAGCAGGGTGGGGGCCGAGGCGCTCTGAGGCTGCTAATGCTTGGCCTTCTGGAAGCCCGGCAGCCGCGGCGGAGAGGGCGGGCGGACTCCCGCGCCGGCCCTGGAGCCGGTGGCGCGCGGTCAGTGCGGCGCGAGCAGCAGCCAGACGCGCCGCGGCTACTGAGCATGCCCAGCGCTGGCCCCCGCGCGGCACCTGGGGTTCAAAATGAAATTCCACTTCTCCGGGTCTTAGCGGCCGCTGCGAGGGGAGCAGGCGCCCCCTCGGGGGGCTTCCTGGGACGGTGATTTGAGAGTCTGTCAAAAACCTGGTCTTGACCAGAGGAACTAGAGGAGGGAGCCTAAGAAAGTGTCAACCCCAAGACCCATCCTGCTCTTTCTCCAAATCTTGGTTTACGTGTGGTCAGACCGCACTGCCTGGAGTTGACCTTTGCTGGGCCGCAGATCGACCAGCTTCTGGGGACAGCGTACAGGAATGGAGTATAGGTGCCTGGGGAAGCCTAAATGAGTGTCCTGGGCTGCCTTGTGCTAACAGCTTTCTTTTTGTTTCTGCTTCCCTGTCTCTCAAGCTCAACCCCTATATTTAAACTTTCTCCTTACAGAAGTCCAAAGTTTTTGACTATCGTGACAGAAAGAAGTGAGGCCACACTTTTAGACTACTAGGAAATTTCTGTGTAATTGAAGAAACGAAAGCGCCTTTTTGTTTTTTGGAGATAATTATCCTTAGTCTCCATTTTACTTTCTAAGGTGAGAGGTAATAAAATCATTTCTGTGAGTGGGCTCCTCCAGAGCAGCTTTGTGCCTCTAGGGAGGTTACGACAATCTGTGTAATACAGGTGACCCCTCCCCCCATCTAACACTTTGGAGTGTCAAAATTCTTATATTAGTCTAGTGACTACATAAAGTCCCTCGGCCAGACTTCACTCCCTTAACTATCCCAGGAGTTTTCTGCCTCTGTGTCTTCAGGAAATGCTGTTTTCCTTTCTCCATTCTTCTCCATTAGCATCACTACCACACTCAAGCTTACAAAAGTCTAACTTTGGTCTCACTTTTCCAGAGATCCCTGTCCTAAATCCAGATTACAGTGATATTTCTCTATCACATATGAACGTATACATATGCTTAGCATTGCCTCATATTTCTTTTCAGATATTCATTTATCTGTAGTTTGTCTTACAACACAGTCTAGGTCTCCATAAGAACGTCTGCATCTTTCTGTCGCTTAACTTGAATAAAGCCATTCTAGGCAAATAAAAGGTACTAATAAGTGATTATTGAATTGAACTGCATCTCTCACTCAAGGCTTTCTTCCTCCATCCACTGTGAATTGGGACAATTAATAGGAAATATGCTACCCACAAGGGCTTAAATTAGTCAGGATCTCATAGGATCTGAGAGCCTAGGCAGTATCTTTTTCTTTATAATTTATTTCATCTTCAGCACTGAGAGACAAGGCCAAGAATTGCATTCGAACAAGTGGGAGAAGGGGAGAATGAGATGTAATTTTAATACCTAGACAGGTCTCTTATGCTGAAAATAGACATATGTACAGCTTCTCTCTCCCCACTCCTCTACTTCCCCATATGGGTATGTCATGCACCATTTCTGTGGCACTACCATTTTACCCCAAACCACTCTAAGCTGCAACCTCTTCCCCTACTCCAATTCACTTTTCCCCAGTCTTTTTTTTTCTACATAGAATGTATCGCTTTCTAACATACCAAAAGAATTGCTTATTAAATCTCATTTATTACTTGTTTCCCTCCCCCTCACCTTGCAGTGATATTCCTTCTTCAGTGGTAGAGATCTTTGGCAATTTTATGCATTGATGTATCTCAACTGATTAGATCAGTGCCTCTCACAAAATAAGTGCTCAGAAAAAAAATAAATTGAAAGCAATTGGTTGATAAAGTTTAATACTGACCATTAACCTGGCTCTTTGGAATTCATACAAAATAAGTATTTGAGATAATTTATTTAGCTGTGCTTAAAGCTTAGAGGAATAACCCTTCTTGTCTAACATCTGGTATTAGAATTTCTGCAGAGTTGAGAATTGGAGGGAAAGAATAGTAGGCCACTTTGATGGAAGTGCTTCCCTTATTTTCTTCTTTCCTAAAAGAATATTAATTTCCAAACCTACATAGATGTCCAAGAAATAAGTGCATGTATGATAATGAAACAACCTGCAGCAGTGTCCTGAACCCCTTGCTTTCTTACAGATAATCCAACATTTTGGTGTGTGTGAGGGGGAGCATTTAAAGTTTCAACTAATATAATTGCCTGAGACTTTGCCAACAAGCAGTCAGCAAGCTATTTATTTTGCCCAGGGGTACAGGTAGCTGAGTATTAAACTGTGCATAAAGATCTCCTTAGCAGCAAAATTTTCCAATTTCCAATTTGACTAGATATACTAATAAAATAGTTCAGCATAGTAAAAATAATCTTGAGTAAGCTGTAATTTTAGTGACTGGACATTCATTATTAATTTACTTGAAAAAGATAATGGAGCAAGAAAAATTCATGTTCGTTAGTGAGTCAATCTAATATACTTCTAATGGAGCTGATACCATGACATGTGAAGTCAAAGGACAAAAAGTGAATTAGGCAATTAGAGAAATAATCAACCCCTTAACATTTGAGAAATATTCCCAGTGAGTCCATAGATGTTGCTTTTCTTTGACCCTGTGATCTAATACTAGTGAAGGTGATTTATTTTTTAGAGAAGCTTGGTTAAAACGCTGCACCAGAGTTTTAAAAACTTAGTTCAAATACAGAGAAGCACAGAAATTAATATGAGAGATCTATGCAAATTAGTAGTGGCCTACAGAGCTGTGTCCTAAAGGAAATCATTTACCTTTTAAAAGATAAATAGAAAGTTCATATCATATAGACTTTCCCTCTCCAGCAAATGCATAATCTCTTTCTTATGAGGTAAGATTCAGGGAGAATTTATACAGAAGAGAAGCCTTTTAGAGCCAGTCCTCAAACCCAATTTAACTGTTATAAGCCTCCATCTTTACTTGTCCATAAATGGAGAAATATATTGGCTATCCTTCCTTAGGACATTTTAGAGAAATTAGATCCATAGACTTAGAGTTTTTAAAATTTATTTTAATTGTTATTTTTAAATATAATGAGAGATAATATTAATTGAGTGCTTTGTATGTGCCGGGTTCTGTTCTAAGTACATGGATATTCCATTTAAACTTTATAATATCCTTTCAAGGAGGCACTGTCATGATCTCATTTCAGAGATAAGACATTTAAGGTACAGAGAGGTAACTTGCCCCAAATCAAGTAGTAAGTAATGAATCAAAAGGTAGGTTGGTAAAGTTAGGATTCACAATCACAAATCATTAGGATATGCTACTTCCCATGAATGCTCAGCACTCCTGTACATCAAGGGGCATCACCAGGTTCACTCACCAGTAACCAGGGCTGGCATGAGTGCGAGAGAGAGAGTGCGAGAGTGCGAGAGTGCGAGAGTGCGAGAGTGCGAGAGTGCGAGAGTGCGAGAGAGAGAGAAGAGAGAGAGGAGAGAGAGAGAGAGTGTGTGTGTGTGAGTCAGATATAGATGGCTCCCTAGAATTAAATCTGGACCAAGCAGGAGATGCTGACCCTAGACTTGCCAGAGCTTTCTCACCCAAAGCTCTGTGGTGACAAACACCCACAGGAGATTGTCTCCAAGAGAATGAGGCCCTGCTTGTGGCAGTGTACTCTGGGATCTGGCATCTAGTGAACAAAGACAGACAGTGAGTAAAATCATGCTTGAGAGAATCACATTAGAGGGATGCTTAAAGTAGAGCAGAAAAGAGGAAATTGTCTCTTCTATGGAGGATGGGAATAGAGGTGGGGTAGCAGGCAAGAAACTATTAGCAGAGAACAGTCAATGAGCTGAGTCTGGCTGGGTGAGTAGAATCGAATTGTTCCACATGAAGAGAGAGGCTCACGGATTGTGTGAGCCAGTAGAAGAGACATGAAATAGTGAAATGGATTCAAGGAACTTCTGAACGTGTACAAATATGACAGGTGACAGTGACTAACACTTGGTTGAGATTTGTATCCTGCTTACCCTGCCCCATCTTTTATGCAGCCACTTTATCAATCTCAAAGTCAGTTTACTTTTGTCTGAGCAGTATCTATGTATAGGAGGGAATAAAAAGCAATAATTTATTTTTACAAAGAAAAAAATGATATGAATTAAGCTATCTTCAGAGTGGAATGTTATAGAATAAAAAAGGAATGAATTGAAATTCATAGGCGAAGACATCATATGTAGGTATGTAGACTCACCATTACTGTTTTTAGCATTTTCCCAATCATAACCAGGAAGAACAATCTGCCCTTCTGTATGAGCATACAGTGAAGGAAATGGGGAAATAACAAAGGGCATTAAGAATAGGGAGGAAAAGCACTAAAATTTACAAAATATATATTTTCACATTCAACCCTTGCAAGAGCTCTGTGAGGTATTATTCTCCTTTGGTGATGGAGAAAGAAAGGGAAAATGAAGCTAGTAATTTGCCCATGTTCATCCAGCTGGTAAGTGGTAAAGCTGGCATTGGAACTCGGAACTGGTGACTCCAGTTAACGCTATGCTGCTAATGACTGTTGTGCCACCTCTCTCATAAGTGGAAGGACTTACTTCAAGGCTTAACAGGAAAATGTAGTGTTTTCAATCCAAGAAACAGACTTCAAGATAGTTAATGACAATTAAATTTTACAGGTTACAGCTCTACTTTTATTAAGATCTACCTATATAAAATGTTTGATATGCACACACACATACACATATACAAACACACAAAAGACAGCGATGTGTATTCTAAAAAAATTAGGTACACAAAATAAGATTTTTTTATACATCTATGAAATATGCAGTTCTAGTCAAATACAAAATATCCGTGACAGGAAGGCTATGGGTGCCTATGGATTCTGCTATTGATTCATCATTAAAATCTTATTCAAAATAAAGTATAAACTTTCCTTGGAGCTAGCTCTTGATACTAGTATGTTATACTGTCATCTACTCCAGCTCTGCAAAGGTCAGATTCATCCAAGATGTCGGTGATAGATTTACAAACCGCTGACTCTCCTGCATTAGCTC